GGTGTAATATGTTAAAAATGAATATATGAGAGTAAAACAAAAAAGCCGTCGACGTACTTCTTTGGGATTTTTTTTTATCGGACAAACTATGCAATATCGTGTTTTGGAAAAGTTGTCGCCCTAGTTAAAGACATTAACTTACTCGTACAATTTTTTGTTTGCTAAAATATCTTTTCAGCTATCTGCAAACAAAATCGGTCAAATATCGACAATTTGGGAAATCATGGCCTTAAAGAATTTACATCATAGTACTAGCATTTCAGTTGGTAACTAAGTACAATTATATTGGCTATAGTATAAAACCCTTTTACCACCTTTTTCCACCTTTCAGGTCTTTAAGACCCCGGCCAGAAATAACCTCTTCATGTCAACAGCGTTTCATAATGCGGTTAAACCTGTTACTCAATTAGTTGTGTAAACAAACTGTATGTAAACAGGTTCTATTGAATTTGTTCCAAGACAATGAATTATTTGAGTCAACAATCTCTTGTCTGGTGCCAGCTTTTCTTGTGAAACATGCTGATCCTATCTAATTACTTAGTTGGAAGAGAATATCAGAAATAAGGTTATTATCATTCCAAAGTAAGTGAAAATAATGTAACAACAACCTAATGATGTAAGTATTTAATTCACCTCAAAGTAAAAAAAGAAAGAAAGAGTCATCGAATTTGCTATCATTAACAAACCCGGTTGCAAATCGAGTCCAACTACTATGTTTCCAAGTTAAAATCTGTTTACACCACAATATAGCTGCTATACGTGTACTAAACGTACTAAATCTGAAAAACGTTAACCCTTTTTAGCAGACGAGGGTGGTGATGATTCCTTTTATATCTCCGACAGACTTGAGCGTAATGTTTATGAAGTGTAGGTATTTAGTGTCCGTAATATTTTTAAGTGTCTACAATTACGATTTTTAAATTTGGCTAAATGTATCATAGTAACTTGTTCGTTGTTGGCCTTTTCTTTGTCCTTTTTTATTCCATCAACATCCACCATTCTGATAAGTCTTACTTACCATATCTGTAGACGCTACTTATTTGTATCGGACTAAACCTATTGTTACTCTCTAATATTTCATCCAATTCTTAGTTAATAGGTAATGCATTTCGTTGCGGGTCCAATGACAGTTTAACTTTCCCCCGGGACAAACTTGACCTTCACTTGTTGGATTTTTATTGGCGGTCAAACTGTTGATCCTAGCTAAACAAAAGTTGCATCAGTGGGAATGAGAGGTGGGAATAGTCCCGTTTAGTGTAATGCAGTCGCTGAACCAATAATTAACTTTTAAAAAAAATAAAACCGACTTCAAATGCGTGAACACAAAAAAAAACTAAAAATTAAGAATATTGCGTATAAAAAAGTTCATCCCCAATTTTCCACCCTTGGGGGTGAAATATTTTCTTCAATTTCGCATGAAACCACCCTTTTGATAATACCTATTCAACAAAAAAATAATCGTTCAAATTGATTTATAATCGGCGGAGATATTGCGTATAAAAAAGTTCATCCCCAATTTTCCACCCTTGGGGGTTGTTTTTTCTATTATTAAATTTAAATGGGACCACCCTTGAGGTATTACCTATACGCCGAAAAAAGATTTGTTCAAATCGGTTCGTAATTGGCGGAGTTATCGCGTAACAAACATAGAAAAAAAAAACAAGCTCATAGCCACTATTTTTGGGATTGTGGAGGAATTTTATTCATTGACTACCTACTTAAAAAAAACTACAATAAACGGGGATTATAATGCTGTACTGTTGATAAGAGTGCGTCAAGTGGTTGTTGAAATATTAAGAGGCAAACTGGCGAAAGGAAATCTGTTATTGCAAGACAATTCGCCCGCGCACACCGCGCATGTTGCATGGCTTGCCCCGGGTAAAACTGGATTTCAAGAAATTAATCACCCACCACACAGTTTAGTCCAAATCCCTAGCTATTTTGTCTAATTCCCAAATTGGAAAAAAGACCTCCAGGAACGAAGATTTTTGAGTGACAAAGAAATGAAAGCGGCGTTAAAGGCTCATTTCGAAGGCAAAGATTGCGAATTTTTTTTCAGTGGGTTAAAAGCTCTTTTACACAAATGTAAGAAGTCCGTTGTAGTAGAGGGAGATTAAATAGAAAAATATATTTTTTATACTTTTCTATCGGCGTTTTTAATACCCTAGGCTCAAAACTTTTCAGCCGCCCCTCGTATATTTTATAATTGTGTATTATGTACATCTGTTGCTGATGGACGTTTTGGGTAAAACTGTTGGTCCACAGTAAAATAAATAAATATAGCCTCATTGGTAATTCACATTTTTTTATCGAATACATATTATACTGTATATTACAGGCACACGACACATAACTGTCTCGCATCAGAATTATACAAAGACTTTAAACAAATTGCTGCATACTATGGCATCTTAAATTCCTACTGGACTGATAACAATTACTGTATTGTATTCGTGACTGCGAAGTGCAATTCGGCGTCACTCGCGCGAATATATTATGTCGTGTACGGCAAAGAGCCGGTAATCAAGGAACGTGTGATGGAATTATAACGCGAAGTTACCTGGATGATTTGCTTGGCGTGCCGCCAGATTTAAATTGGCAATGTAAGTGGTAGAACTAGTAAGTGCACTTGGATATGTCTGCATATACATTTTTGCCACGGCTTTTTTCACTAAGTTAAACTACTTTATCAAATCTACCTATGTAAAGATCATAGCATAACTGGTTATATTATAGGTAGGGAGGTATTTATGAATTGGTAGGTTAAACCTATGAGCACGAGTATTTACTTTTAATTTACAGTTTTAGATTATTTTTTGACATACGTAAAATAATTGGTTTAATTTAATGCAATAGTGATGTTCTACAAATGAAGTTTAAATTAATAAGTTAATTTTACGCGTCAATGGTTTCATAGAACTTAGCAAATGCATTTACTGAAAAAAGGAAAACCAAAGAAGTTTGTGTCACCATTTAGTACAATCGGACATACAAACTTTTTGTATGTAAATGGAAATATGAAGTAGTCGGTTTCCACAGCGATATTATTAGGTACATGATCCCACGTGAAAGGACAGTCTACTGACTCACCAGAAATACTGAAATACTTCGAACGGGGAATAGGTGGGAAATTATATTCGTATGACTAATATTTGTAGGAGATTATGGTAATATGAATTATTATTAGGGATAATAAAGTGATAGGTGATGAACTGATGACTCGACACAACCATAACAAGTTAATGAACTTTACACTAACTGGTCACTATTGTGGAACTGAACATAATTCATAACACTTATTAGAATAATTGTAATTTCATTCTTTGTAATTCAAAGCAGTAGAAAAGCTCGACGAATACTACCTATGTGTGAATGTATTTATTGTACCTACCTATAGAATTAAAATCTTAAGATGATGTAAATAAAAACAAAAGACAAGCAACTTTTTATAGCTTTATTCTTAAAATTAAGGTCTGTCTACATTTTCGTATGATTAACCTTTCCTGCATAAACATTATCAAGTTTATTTGGACCTATACCTATTGAAAGCATGTTTTTGTTTGTTTAATATTGTTCGGATGTTAAGTTTTCCAAAAATATTTCAGATTTAACATGATAACTATAAAACTAGTGTTAGAAATCTGGTTTATATGGATAATAATAAAGGCACCAGTATCGTATTGCACACCTACAGTGGAGTTACACGAAGCTTACAAGCCTGCTATAGTAATATATTTTGATAAACATAAATCGCAGATAGGTATATCTTAAAAATACACATAAAATGATTTACATACAACACTAAATGGTAAGCCAACACATGGCGCGATTGAATACAGATTATCACAATATTATGTAGTTAAATGTCGATCACAACACGGAGAACAATGATATTGGTAACATACAACAAATATTCAAGACACCTCTTGTTTGAAGCGGGATATTTACAATGCGGTGTATGATCTGCTCCTCCTCCTTGTCAGGCTCAGTAATAGTACATTCTGTACGTGGGGACGCTAAACACATAGTCTAGAGACGGTCCTCTGGACTGGAAGAAATGGTTCTCGTAACAATATACCCGACCTCTGTACCTGTACCAACAAGTGTAAACCATTACGTCACTGTGTGTGTAGTGCAGTGGTGATGACGCACACGTGAGTGATGACGAGCTCGTTAGTTAGGTGATGGAAGGTGCAGCAAACGAATGAGTTTATTGACAAAACCATTGCAGATAGACAAAATGTGGACGCGTGTTGCGCAAGGCCGGTGCATCGACCCGAGCTAAATTTACCCGGTATCGAAGTCCCATGCGGAATGTGCGCATTGCAGCCGAAAACTTACTAAAGCGCATTCTTGACATTTCCCTTGCGTAACCTACTTCCAAAATGAATTAATCTGATTCTTTTAGAATTGCAATTTATTATGTTGTCGTTAAAATATTTTCGTGGCGTTTTGTTAGGTGTTATTTCGGTGCGGTGGTGTGTATTTAACTATTAGTGCGATGTGTAGTCTGTTTAATATTTCGTACGAAAGCCAACCGGGTTTAGAGGCGAAGTAATGACTCCAGTTTCACAAGACGCGCATGTCTAGTTATTTATAAATTATGAAGTACATCAATGGGGGCACAGTTGTGCAAAGCTCATGCTGACGATAAGAAAAGTGTACTTACTTGGATCCGAGTGCGGTTTTCGTGTCGAGAACTTCTACGATATCGCCGGCCCTGAGCGACACCTCGTCATCCGCCGCGGCGGTGTAGTCAGTCGTCGCAACGACTACGTCTTCTACCTGTAACAATAGAAACCAAAATTAAATAACAATATCAAAATAGTGAAACCTACATACGGTTGACTGTTTACAGTTATTCTAGTAAGTTTTTACCTTGGGAGGACTTCTGCTACAACTAGAACGAGATCTAGATAAAGATCGGGACGGATATCTTTTATAGCTTGGCGTGTTTTCTAAACTGCTCATTCGACTTCTGGTATTTTCTCTGTCTAACAAAACTCCGTTGTATCTTCGAGACCAACCACCGAACTTGGTGATCCTCTGATTGTTGCTAATATTGCAGTAGCCAGTAAACGTCTGCAAGTCTTCGTCGTCATTGTCTACCACAGGACAGCTGTACATTGAAAATCTATGGGCTGTCGGCTGACTAAGGTTAAGAGCTGAGAATACGTGCATCGGCTCAAAATGTCTGATTCCGCTTTCGTCAAGAACTGTGTATGCAACTTGACCGGTCAACACGGCGCGGCTGGCTTCACGGGGCACGACCGCTTGCAAGCCTTTTTTCATAATCAAAAGAGCTCCAGGGTGCTTTTTCCGCTGGAATAGGAAGTCTTCCATCGCCAAACTGTTTTCGGGATCAAGTAAACTCAGTGGAACGTCGGCTGAAGTCATGAGGGGTGGTTCCTCGGGAACGATCATAAGAGCCGCACTTTCTCGCACTAAATCCCTGAGATTAGGATCGGTGCGAGCCAGTTCTGGGTTTGTCTCTAATTTTTTAAGGGCAGAATTGAGACTCGGCGTTTGATCAGCCAATTTTCTCATAACTGTCAATCTTTTCAAAATATTAAGACTCGTCGCATCATTAGCGATTTGTGCCAAGCTTTCTTCATTATTAACGACAGAAAGTAAGTTCATAGCGACATCCCTAATGCCCAGTATCTTAGCGAGTCCCACTGATTGAACAATCAGTTCTTTCAGATTTTCTTGATTGGGATCTTGTAGCATTATATCTAACTCTTTGCTGCTAGCTTCTTGCACGGCAGATACAATAGCTTTCTGCAATGTTTCAGTTGCTTCATGGTCTGTTTTCACAAATGAGATTGAGTCTGAAATATGAGCCAAAACGTGATGCAGGACACTCGCGTCATTTTTAGAAATATTTTTGAAAGCAGGTCCTAATACCTCATTTTCAGAACTCAAAAAGTCTCCGAACTTTTCTATGATATCTTCTTCGGTAAAGGAATGTTTGTGTAAACCGTTATTTACCGCAATTTTGATTAATTCTACTTTAGGTTGTGTTGTGTTGTCAAGTATTTCTTCGCAGAGTGTTTCTTTGTCTTCGTTAGTCTGCAGAATTTGGAACATAGATGCAACAAATTCTTCGTCAATTGTATTTCCTAATATAGTATTAATAGATTTGAGTATAAGCTGATATTTTTCTTTGCTGTTATTATTGTTGACTTCTTCAAACTGCTCAGCCGTTACTAAAGCAGCTAAAACAGCAGCAGCAATTGAGTTTTTAACATGTTCCTGCTGAGCTGTTTGGCCATTTTCTTCAGTCGGTCCACTGTGTTGTTGAATCCCCATTCTTTTTTTGTCTGACCTTCGCTTTTTCTTGTCGTTGATCGATTCATTTTCAGAATTATTATCACGAATTTCGGATTTCAAGTGAGCACTCATTTCTATGATCGAAGTGATAACTTGCATTAATTGATTGGCAACATCATCTTTCAGTCCAAAATCGGTCACAAATGCTTTTAAAGCTTCTGCATTCCTTGTTTCATTCAAAACGACGTTAATAGCAGGTAACTCAGCTGGGACTTGCCTTCCAATAGACATACCAGCTTCTGAAAGCTGTCTTAACATGTTTGTATCGATAGTTAGCTCTCCTTTTGTCGATGTAGTGTCATTTGGGTTCGTTTTCACTTTTAAGAGCTTGAGTTCTTCTGGAGTGACGACAAAGCTTTGAACTGAAAATTCAAGACCTTCTTCACCTTCAGTAAGGTCAGGGGCAACGAATTTCAAGCCCTCTGGCGTTTGAACTATCTGTCCAGGCACAAATGTCACCCCATGATCGTCTGTTTCAATAACTCGTCCAGGCACAAATCTTGGACCTTCTTCAGTATCAACTACTTGACCAGGTACGAATCTAGAGCCTTCATCTTCAGTAGAAATAACTTGTCCAGGGATGAATGTTGGTCCAGCCTTTGTTTCAATAATTTGTCCCGGAACAAATCGCGGCCCGTCGATAGTATGTATTGTTTGACCGGGAACGAATTTAGGGCCTGTTTTAGTATTTACTACTTGACCTGGGACGAACTTAGGTCCATCTGCGGTATCTACTACCTGGCCTGGAACAAATTGTTCACCGTTTTCTGTGAACACAATTTGTCCCGGCACAAAAATGCCTTCGACCATCATTCCAGGAACAAAGCGAGATTCATTTGCTTCATTTTTAACCAATCTTCCAGGCACGACTTTTCCTTCAATTTTAGGTATTCTTGGACCAGGGTAAAACTCAATACCTTTAGCTGTTTGAATCATATGTCCAAAGACATACAAAGATTCTTCAGATAATGAGCTTGTTTTGATGTCGATAGGAAGGCCCACAGGAGCACCTTCCGAGAAAGTAATATCTTCCACTGTTTTTGCTACCGAAAATTCAACGTGTCCATTAGATTGAACGAAAGTTTTTCCAGGCATAAACTTTTCCCCTAACTCAGTATGGACTATTTGTCCTTCAATGAACTTCGGTCCATCTATTGTTTCCACTGTTGTGCCAGGAACGAACTCAAGTTTGTCGCCACTCGTAGTTTTTGTTATGCCAGGTACAAAGCACGTTTCACCATCGACGGCTACCGTTTGCCCTGGAACGAACTTGAGGCCATTAGGAGTTGCAATGGTTGCACCGGGAACAAAGTGTAACTCATCATCTTGATGAACCACCTGTCCGGGTATAAATTGCCATTCATTGTTTATTTTGGCATTTTGTCCGGGCGTGAATATATTCCCGTTGCTTTCTGTTATTGTTTGACCAGGCACAAATTGGACTCCTTCTGGAGTCAAAATAGTCTGACCTGGCACGAATACATCTTCTGGGCCGTTATTTATTATTTTTCCAGGGACAAACTTAAGTCCTTCCTGTGATAGCACTGTTTGACCTTCAACAAACCGATACGTGTCATCTTTATTTTTGATTGTTTGTCCACACACAAATTCTTCTCCATTCGTCGTTTCCATCACTTGTCCCGCAAGGAAGAAGGGTTCATTTGTGTACTCGTTGGTGACAATATGTCCAGGAATAACTGCAGGACCTGCAGGTGTATTTACAGTCAATCCTGGTACGAACACAGGACCTGAAGGGGTTTCCACAGTCTGGCCAGGCACAAAGACAGGTCCTTGAGGTGTGTTGACATGTTGACCGGGGATGAATTTTTTCGCCTTGTTTATGTCTAATGTCAGTCCTGATATTTTGGCAATTTTTTCTCTTTTACCTTTCTTTATATTTTTAACTAGGTCTGGCAAGTGCTCTAAAGTAGGGAGCATGCCAATTTTATTTTCTACAACTAACTTTTCTGTGACGTCTGATGTTTCAGTCAAACGTTCTTCTGACAGTTGCTTCACAGCAGTTAATACTGTTTCATCAGGCCGTGTCTTGACTGGTTTCAGTGGGTTCACACAAGGAACATTTTCTAAAGACATCGAAATATCACTGATATTTCGGTCAGTTTCATAAATTTCAGCATCACAATGATGTGGTGTTAACTTCACCGGTATAGGTAATTTACTAGCCTTCGGAACTAAATGTTCATCATGTTGATGCATTTCTTTTTCAAACACGTCCCAATCCCAAGATTCAATAATAGGATGCAACTGATCTCGCCATTCACCACTGCACATAATAATACTAGACTTTGAACGCATATGATTAACATCGTAATTCGTTGAAGTGAAAGTTTTGACGTCGTGTTTTTCGTGTTTGTATTCTTCTAACTTTGCTTTCTTAGCCATTCGATCTTGACGATGTCTTTCCTCTTCCAACTCCTGCACCTCAGCCAACTTTTCTTTGTTTTCAAATATCTTTTTCATCGATGAGAGACCTGCTCGTTTTCTCTTCTTTTTCTTTTCTTCCAATTCTTCTAGTTCTCTTTGTTTTAAAACTTCTGCGTTTGGTCCCTCTCCTTCGTACATTTCTACGTCTTCAGTAAAATCTTTGAAGTCCATCGATACACTGCGGCCTTGTTTCATTTTGATTAGCACTGTGTCCGAATCCTTCGCCAGCATGACGTCGCGCACATCACCATCGCGGACGGCCGCTTCCATTTGAGCCGAGAAAACTAAACTGCACCGTCTCTCTTGAACCGTGTACACATATCGCTTGTCTTCGGTCACTTGTTTTCCTATCAGCATTTCCATTAACACTTTCTGAGCCTCGGTAGAGCCGTCTAAAACGGGGAAAATGTATCTGTAGTCCGGTAGCATTTCGTGCTTTCTATTACCGTAGTTAATTTCGGGCGCATAGTGGTGCGGGCCGAGTTCACCGGATACGTTAGTAATTTTGCATTTGGTCTTTCCCGAGCGGGAGGTGAGTAGCACTGGAATGTAGTGGTGAGACGGGAGTCCGTAGGATTTGCCGGTGATCCTGCAGCAACGCTTGGCGTCCGCCGGCGAGATGGGCAGAAGAAGCGGAAAATAGTTGGGTTTGGGCAGCCCCCTGCTGCGGCCTGTGATTCTGCAGAACGACATTGTTGCTGATTTGTTTTACGCCGGCATAATAATATTTGTTTGTAAACTCGAGTGTTTGCGTGCGCGGCCGATGCGGCGGAGCGGCGGTGGCGCGAGTGGTGCGTGAGCTCTGAGCGTGGCGCGCGGAGCGACTGGCGCGGACGCCGACTCGCACCTTCGCGGAGGCAGACGGTGCGCCCGCCGTATGCTTTTTCCGGTTACAAGTTATTTATAAACAAAAGAAAGATGAATATATTTTTTAAGCAAAAATATATGACACAGTTCCATGACGATAACAACGAAGCAGAAAATTGTAGGCCGATGCGCGTTCGGTGGTGCAGTCAAACACAGTCATTATCTTATTGTAAATATCACGTAGAGATGCTCATCTTACGCAAAACAAAATACCAAACGTAACTTGCCAACGCAATCATTAACAACATGTTATGAAGTGCTGCCAAAATGGCAAAGTGTAAAAAATGGTGCAACCTTTGTTCGTTAGAGCTTATTTGCCAAATTACCAATTTAACTAATAACTTTCCCCAGAGGCATACAACGAGGCATCATTAAACGAGTAATGTATTCAATTCTAAAATTAATACTTAAAGATTCCAATTTTCAAACCAAAATTACTAGATCTCGACAAATTCGACCATCAACGCCAACTAATCATATCCTCAAAACTTAATTTACAAACCTAATTGATTCCTTGAACGATGATTGACGGGCAAATTAAATCATACTGCAACGCAGATGGAGTCATCTTGTCTGGAGTAACGGCTAACCTCGCTGTAACCGTATTTTTAACGCGATCGGAACCTTGCTCGCGTGCAAGACGTGAAGGAAAGCAGCTATTTCTGATACTTTCGTTAAGTGCTTTGAACGTAAAATAGAGCGGATTGTGTAAATGTGCATCCATCTGCTCGTTTCGGATGACGATTGTTTCGTGTGGCAACATTTGGAATAGCTATAGATTGTAACATAAAATGTCCATGGTAATATGCCTGATAAGTTAGAACACTTTATTGAACTATAAGTTAGAAAACTTTATTGAACTATCACATTAATGAAACTATCAATGAACTTTTAATGCCACATTCAGTGGAAGTAGCCTAAGTAATTGAATATTAACGAATATTTATTCAAAAGAAGCAAGGTAAAGAATTTTGGGCTGACACTGTATACGTTTGGTGTCGAAAAAGAAAAAAAGCAAGGCAAAGATAAACCACTTTCATATGATAGTATAGAGACGGGCAAATAGAAGATACTCTATCTAGTAGTATGCTAATACTACTCTACTACTGACATAATAACATTCAGGTAAGCGCCGTTCCTTTCAACATTCAGTAAAAGATTGTTGATTATTTATCTGAAATCTAAATGTAAAACCAAACGCAAATTAAAGCAATGGCAAAGTGCTGCGATGAAGTTTGTTTTTAAATATTTTTCTGCTTTTCAGCCTTGAATGCAGCCTGTGTTTTTCGTTTTCTTAATTTTGTTTTGTAGTCATTAAATACTATTTTAAAAACTTTTCACCTGGCGCCGCTCTGTGGTATCTTGATTGGCGATTTTAATATGGCGTCAGCTGAAGCAAAAAAAAAGCTTTTAAAAAGCTGACCAAAAGCTTTCGTAGCAACGTAACTTAGATTTATTTATTAGCGAAATTACGGTTTGTATCAGATTGGGAAATAATGGAAGACGATTATAAAAATGAGATGCCTTTACCAGATATTTTTTTACTTAACGACCACTTGGTTAGCTGGCTTAGTGGTTCGCGTACCGGACTATTATACCAAAAGCCGCAGGTTCAATCCTCGCATATTAATAATGCACATTGCACACCATGTCTAGGTGTTTTCTAGCCGGTCCGGATTGTTCAAGATAATTTTATTTATCCACATTTCATGGCTGACAATGCGCAAGAGTCCTGTCTGCTGTGTCCTCGTCTTCACCCGGACACTCGAGGTGATCGTGGACAGGCCTTATCATACGTGACTCATTGACATTAAGGTCATTCAATTCTCTCATGTCTGTTATTATGAAACTTTCTGATGCGCGTGCGCCAATAGAAATGGAACGGTGACTCACGCAAATAAATAACGTAAATTACATTTTCATGGAACACTGACCATGCGAATTGTTTGTCATAATTTTTAGAAAAGTCATGAGTATAATTAGGTATTTTGTAGTTTAACAGGGATATCAATTTCCCCGTTTATTTTCGTTGATAGGTACATGATACAGTGATTAGGTACGACGAGTAAGTAATGATTTTAATAAACAATGATAAATGGTTGTAATGAAAATAATGCCATCTATTTTTCTTTTCATCTACTTACTCTATATTCAGATCAAAGACTGGCTTTTTATTTTCATAACTTGTATGATAAACAAATGTGTTGGCATAAGATCACATTTATTAATTCTAAATAAAAAAATAATTAAGTTTTTCTCCCGATTCTTCTATAAAATAACAGCAAACATAGTAAAACAGTTTACATGTTGTCACGCACGAGAAATCAGTGATTTATAATTCAAAATCGTTATTTTTTCTTGTCCCACAAGGTAGCTAGAGACGAGACAGCGCCGGAAACGTCGCCCGACGACACCTGCGGCGCTTCCGCAGGATGCCGTATAATTAGATGTGGTGACATTGCGCGCGCGCAAGTTCACCACTACCTGGCTTTCCACTTGGCAGTGCAATGCTGGGCAAAAATAAATAAAATTGCGCCAGAAAAGAAGTTAAAATATTTACGGAAGTATGGATTTAACTGATCATCACTAAACTAACAGGCGAGATGCAGGCCAAGAGCTTTTCCGTTATGATTTTTAACCAACTAGTATTTTCAACAGTCTACGTTCACTAGCTAGATATCTTTTACCTACAGCGAAGAAGCTATTAGCTTGAGTACCTGATGGAAAACGATGATAAGGTCGAACTTTAATTGGAATCTTCAACCATAGATCTAATTTACGCAGTCATAGACGAAAGGCTTTCAGTTATTAGAATGCATGAAATGTCAAATCACAGAAACAATTTTCTCAAAATTCTGCAAATAAAATTAAATATAATACAAATTTCTGTGACGCACGCAACAACCGTAGTATTACCCGTTGCCGTTTGAACCATAGACGAAATGATAAACGGACTGAACAAAGATCCGCGTGATTTATGGTGAATTCAAAGCGCCGGCCCGTCTGCCGGCTCTTTCATCTTCAGTGATAAATCTTTAAGCTTTTCTGCGAAAAATCTAATTGAAAATTGTTCGATAGTTTTCCCGGCCTGCTTTTCTCAGTTCTGGCTAAACGATTGTTCTCTAGATTGACGCTGAATTGTTTTAATTTATTTTAGACTTAAAATAGGTGAAAGCATACAAGTATTAAAGGTAGATTCACGACAAATTAAGACTGCGTAAAAAATACAGCACCAAAAGAACTAGGATTATAAACCTGTCCTAGCAACGACGAGCCTCTGTCGTACGTCTTTCTTTCGTGAAAAAACACTAGCGACTCGCTAGAGTTTGGACAATTAAAACAGCAATAATAAACTTTAAAAAAAAATAAAACCGACTTCAAATGCGTGTTGGTTCATAATCGGCGGAGATATTGCGTATAAAAAAGTTCATCCCCAATTTTCCACCCTTGGGGGTGAAATATTTTCTTCAAATTCGCATGAAACCACCCTTTTGATAATACCTATTCAACAAAAAAATAATCGTTCAAATTGATTTATAATCGGCGGAGATATTGCGTATAAAAAAGTTCATCCCCAATTTTCCACCCTTGGGGGTTGTTTTTTCTATTATTAAATTTAAATGGGACCACCCTTGAGGTATTACCTATACGCCGAAAAAAGATTTGTTCAAATCGGTTCATAATTGGCGGAGTTATCGCGTAACAAACATAGAAAAAAAAAACATACGGGTCGAATTGAGAACCTCCTCCTTTTTTGAAGTCGGTTGAAAAAAAGAAAGAAGGATTAACGAATAAACGTTACAAAGCACGTGTTAAAGGACGATGACATAAACAAAAGACAACGATAATGAACTGGCTTTCAAACAAAGACGATCTTTAACAAATGTCAAATCATTCTGTTTGTCAATAGCCGCGTAAAGTTCTACAGTGTAAGACATGACCGAATCAGTTCTGGGAACGGCGGGAAAACTCATAAAAAGATTCGGGGAAAATGCCCAACATCGAGTTTGCCTTGAGGAAAATTAATGTTCAAGTATTTTTATTTACAACGTAGAGTCATGTAAATAATTACACATTTTATGGCTTCTTTAAATTAACACTGTGATTTTCGTGTAAAGTTCCCTGCAAGGTGCAATGGAAAACTTTATTTCTACTGTGTGATTAACTACAAAATAATCTCAATTTAATCTTCCAAAACTTACACATCTCACTATCGTGTTCACAAGCGATAAGAAAGACCTTAAATAGTAGTATTTTTGTTTATTGAATTTAATCTTAATGTTCAAGTAATTGAAAATATAATTTGGGTATTTCAACATACGAACATACCAGCCTCTAAACTTTTCACTTGCAGGTTTTTAATTGAGTCAAAAATAAACGTCTGACAGAAACGACAGTTAGTTTTCCCAGGTCTTCCAATCAGCAGTTGACCCGAAAACTAGATAGGGAATTTATCTAGTTTTCGGGTAGCATAATTGGGATAGATTTTATCAGGAAAACAAAAACAAGGTGAACAAAATCAAAACAAAACTGGACATCACCTCGACTCAAAAGCTCACCTGCAATCACCTGTAAATAAAACCTGCCCCAAAATAGACCTCATCATCCTCGGAGCTACAGGCGTGGGAGGCGAACCTCAGCCAACACCAATAATAAGAACAAGAACTAGGTCTTACGCCCGACGTCGTCCGCGATATTATTTTAGTGTAATGGAGGCAAGCTTTTAGAAAACAAAACATTTTTGAGTGGTCTTTTATTGAGACAATGATTTCTTTCCAGGACTGTGGCAGATATGTTTGTCTGATTTTATTCAGACTATTTTCTAGACTTCCTGGAATTGTTAATAAGATCTCCACAGCAAGACCTTTAGATATATGGGTACCGTACTCTGGGTATCAGTGGTGGGTAGATTTTGTTCCTGGCAAGATAATAAAACAAAGAGTTTCCCGACAAGGAGAGGACTAA